CACACACACACACCTCTCTCTCTCTCTGCCTCTATAACTGGTGAAAAGAGGAGATAAAAGAAGAGGGTTAAAATGTTTAAAAATTTAAAACATTAAATTAAAAATTAAGTTAAAAACTAAAATATTAACAAATCAACTTTGCAATTTCTGGAAATCACGATAAATGCCTGCTGCCGCCAGGATCCTATCTAACCGCTCAAAATATTAATTTTAGCACCAACCGCCGCTCAGAGCCTCCCTGGCGCTCACTTACCTGAACAAAGCGAGGCAGGAAAAGGAAAGCTCCCCTTGCTTACGTCACTTCCTTTGAGGTAGGTGGGTGGGTGGCTGGGCCGCTCCCTCCCCGCCAACTGTCACTCGTTGACTCCAGGAAGAGGGAGGGACCGGAAACGGGCCCGACGCCATCTTTCTTTGAAAATGAACATAGAGATAGGAATAAGGAAGAGGAACGTTTGAAGTAGACGCTTCACTCTCTGTCAAGGAAGCCATCCTTTGTGAAACAGCAGCATTCATTAGCCTCACAGACTCTCTCTTTCTCTCTGTGAGACTCTTCTGCTCCATTTTCCCAACTCATTTACCTCAGAACTGCGCCCAGGAACCTAATAAGCGCCTCGCTCTTCCCAAGCTCCAAAGTCCACGGTCTTCCTGACCTGTTCTGCTCCCTTTGTCGGCTCGCTGGCAAGGAAAAAAAAAATACGACCTTTGCGTGACTCTACAAATTCCTCTCTCTGGGGTTCACTTTCCCATGCAAGCAAAATCATGCTGAAAATACTGCAACAAAGATTCTAGCCACACATGGAGAAAGAAATCCCAGAGTCCAAGCAGGGTTCATTTCCAACTTGTGACTCTTTATCACAAGATTTTCTTGGCAAGATTTATTCAGGGGGGGATGCCATTGTTTTCCTCTGAGGCTGAGAGAGTGTGACTTGCTCAGGGTGACTAGATGAGTTTCCATTGGCAAGCAGGGATTCGAACCCTTGTCTGCAGAGTCATAGTCAATGCTCAAACCACTACGCCATGCTGGCTCTCAAAATATACATACAAAAGTTAAAAACATAATTAAAGCATACACTTTGTATAAAAGCCCCCCTGATATGATTACGTATATACACAATTATTTTACTCTTCGAATCCCCCTTGACATCTCCGTGTCGATGTTGGGGAGCCCCCAGCTCAACGTAGTATATGTATAAAAATATTTTGGGTTTTTTAGTGTGCGTATTTTTATTTGTACATCCGTGTATATTCATATTTTAACATATTACAAGGGAATAACATCATTCAGATTAGAACAGTTTTATTTAAGTAAATTCATTAATTCAGTGTGGTGGGTCTACCTCACAGGGCTGTTGGTGAGGACTTAATCAGGTTTGGGAGCCTGAGAAGTTACTGACAGCATAGAAATGGTTGGACCTAAGGCAGAAATAAAAACACAGTTGGTAAATAGGTTGTATTCATTTGCTGCTTGGAGCTGGATATTAAAGCTTTATTTGTTTTTAATAAGTCAGTAAAAGTTTTGTTTCCTCCAAGAGAGTTTTTAAATCACTGCTCTCCATCTTCCTTTAAGTGGAAGTATTCCTGGAGTATTCTGGAAGTTTCTTCCAATTAAAATTTGCTAGCCGTTACTCAGCTGCTAATACCCTTGTCTTTTCCAGAACAGCTCGATCTAGCTACTCCTACCTGAGAAGAGAGGCTTCTGAATTTC